AGCTGCCCAGTACTCCAGCTCAGACTCTCTGTCCTCTAGGACGTCACAGCCAAGGGCAAACTCACCCCCGACGGACAGAGGACGGGAGGGAGGAGCTGGCACCACACGGGTGGTGTAGTCAAGGCGACTGGCGGCAGCAAACTCAGCGACAGCGGCAGTGAGAGCCGAGACAGACGACGGAGGGAAACGAGAGGCGGTGACAAGAGTGGCGAGGACACGAGAGACAACAGGACGAACAGCGCGGTAGTAGTCAGTGACAGGAGTAGGGGGGAAAGGGAGAGAGGACGGAGGAGGAGACGGGAGAACGGACTCAGGAGGAGGACGACGAAGAGACGAACAAAGGAGGGCAGTGCGGAGGTCGGTAACGGGAGACGAGTGACGAGCACGCGGAGGACAGGGACGGACACGAGAGTGTGGGACACCAGGTGGAGGAGACTGCGGTGGAGGAGAAGACAAGACCGCCGGACTGTCGTCAGGAGGAGGAAATGTGGGACCAAACGCTGGAGGGGACAGAGTGTGAACAGGAGGAGAGGAGGGAAGACCAAGGGCCCGAAGGCCACTCACGGGTGGGAACAACTGCCGCTCCAGAGGGAGCTGCGGTGGGCGCGGCTGCGGCGGCAGTGTCTGCTGCTGCGGCGGCTGCTATTGCTGCTGCAGCTGCTGCTGCTGCTGCCGCTGCTGCTCCAGCAGGTCCAACTGCTGCAACTCCTGCCGCTCCCTCTCCAAGAGCACCTGCTCCTCACGCTCACGCCGACGGTCCGCCTGGAGACGTGTGTCATGGCGGTGGGGAGGCGGAGTGGACTCCGCAGAACCAGTGTCTCCAGCTCCAGTCTCCTCAGAACCAGCACCTCCATTGCCAGTGCCTCCAGCACCAGCACCCCCAGAACCAGCACCTCCAGGACCAGCACCCCCAGAACCAGCACCTCCTGTGCCAGCACCTCCAGCTCCAGCACCCCCAGAACCAGTACCGCCAGTGCCAGGGCCTCCAACTCCAGCACCCCCAGAACTAGCACCTCCAGTGCCAGCACCTCCAGCTCCAGCACCCCCGGAGCTAGCGCCACCTGCGCCAGCACCTCCAGCTCCAGCACCCCCAGGACTAGCACCTCCAGTTCCAGGACCTCCAGCTCCAGCACCCCCAGGGCTAGCGCCACCTGCGCCAGCACCTCCAACTCCAGCACCCCTCGAACGAGCACCCCCGGACCGAGCACCGCCAGTGGCTGCACCTCCAGCTCCAACACCAACCGAGTCCACAGTAGCCCGTCGCGGAAGTACCGAAGGCTGCTGAGGGGACTGTGAGGAGGACTGCGGGGAGGGAGACGCTAGCTGACGCGCGACCGAGGGTAGAGGGGTAGCGTGAGACACACCTGACGGGGAAGGACCAGGGGGGGGTGGGGGTACCGGAGGAGCGGGAGCAGGGGGAAGAGAGGGTGCGAGGAAAAGGGGGGGAGGGGGAACCGGGAGACCTCGACAGGGGTACCGGGTGTAGTAGGACACTGACTCGTCGAACCGGACGTCACGGGAGTCTAGGAACTGGTGGAGGGGCGGGTGGTAAAAGGACCAGTCGGCCGAGGCTACCGGGAAACCAAGGAAGACACAGGGGACGGCGCGAGCCGAGAGCTTGTCCGCAGAGGTGTCGCGGACAAGCGCAAGGCAGCCCCAGACACGAAAAGCTGACCCAACACCAAGGGATCCGGTCCAAAGACTGGTCGGTGAAGCCTCTGGCCGCGAGACGCGTGGCTGGAGGTTCAGCTGGTGAGCGGCGTAGCGAACCGCGTAGGGCCACAGAAAATGGGGCGCACGGGCATGAATCATGGACGTGTGGGCGATGTCCATGACCAAGCCAATGGGGCGCTCAGCAACCCCATTCTGCTGTGGGGACTCTGGCAGCGTCCAGGACTGTACGATGCCCTGCTCGCCGCAGAATCCGGCAAGAATGCCTGAGCGAAACTCACCCCCACGGTCAGAGTGGAGACAGGAGACACGACGGCCACGAGTGCCCTCAGTGGCTAGAAGCCACCGGATCAGCGTAGAAGTCACCTCGGACTTCTTCGCGAGAGGAAACACCGTGGTGTACCTGGAGAAGTCGTCGACGACCACCAGAAAGTAGCGCTCCCTCTCAGGTCCCTGCATAGGTGCAGGGCCCCAGACATCCAAGTGGAGTGTCTGGAAGGGAGCAGTGGCCGGACGAAGGGAGGAGGAGTGCGGAGTGGCACGAAGACGGCCGGCGACGCAAGGAGTGCACGGCGGCGCAGGCGAGGGAGGGAGTGACGGGAAGACGCGAGGGAGACCTGAGACAAGACGGTGACCAGCCATAGTGCGGAGGCGGGGGATCGACGCGTGGCCAAGACGGTGGTGCCACAAGACGGTCTGGTGGGTGAAAGACCGACACGAGCAAGACGCAGCAACTAGACCGGACACAGCAACCTGACCGGACACAGCAACCTGACCGGACTCTGCTACCGTGGGGGACGAAGCAACCTGACCAGACGCAGCTACCTGCGGGGGCGGAGTGTGCAGGACGAAGAGACCTGAGTGGGGCTCTCTGGTGAACGTGGCAAGAACGGCCCCGGTGGAAGAGTCCGTACAGATCGCAGTCCTCCGGTGCGCAGGAAAAGTGATTGTGATCCCCCGGTCCTGAAGGTATCCAACACCCACCAAGTTCCGAGAGAACGAGGGGATGTAGAGACCAGTGAGGAAACCAGAGGGGACAGCTGGGCACGGGAGAGTGGTCGAGCTGCGAGCAACTGCCGGTCCTGAAGTAGGATCAGCCAGGGCAACTGGGACTGGAGCCGAAAGAGGTGTGACAGTGGTGTGGTCGCGGAAGAAGCACTGAGACGCGCCGGAGTCCAGCGTGAAGGAGAGCGACGCAACAGCAGTCGTCACGGCTGGGCTAGTGACTACACAAGCACCTACACTAAAAGCACAAGTACCGACACTAGCAACAGGCAAAGGTCCTAAGCTAGGTAAACGCAAGCCAAGAGATCCGTACGTGACAGAATAAATAGCATCCATAGACATATCAAACACAGGGTAACCACTACGAAACAGACCGGGCCAGATCGGGGGAGCCGACTCAGGCCCAAAACGCTCACGGAAAAGGTCGTCGAGGCGGCTGTAGCAGCGCTGTGCAGAGTGGTCAGGACGCCAGCAGGTAGTGCCAGCACCAGGGCCGGTCAGGATCCGGTACTGGCAGGGGCCGACGTCGCGGCCACCGCGACGAGCCCCCCAGCTGGCTGGGCCGCTGCTGCAGCCAACGCTACCCGAACCACCAGGCCCCCACGGCTGCTGAGGGCGCCACATCTGCTGAGGGCGGAGCTGCTGCTGAGGGCGCCCTTGCTGCTGCGGAAGCCACTGCTGAAACGGCCGTTGCTGTTGTCCCTGCTGCTGGAGAACCCTAGTGGACTCCATGATAAAAGCTAGCGAGGTGCAGGAGCGGCAGGCTAGGAGCGGCAGGAGCTAGGGACGGCTGCAGTGAAAAACGAGAACAACTAGGAGCGCCAGGTGAAACTAGACGAGTAACTGCTGGAGCACGGAGCGAACTAAGCTAGGAGCGCCAGGTGAAACTAGGCGAGGAACGGCTGGAGCACGGAGCAAACTGAGCTAGAAGCGCCAGGTGAAACTAGGCGAGGAACGGCCGGAGCAAGAACTGGTTGGAGTTAGAAACGGCGAGCTAGGGCTGGCTGGAGGTAGGAACGGCCGGAGCTAGAGACCGTAAGTGCGGCTGTCGGCTGCCGCTAGTAGAGCCACTGGCAGTGGAAAGTACGTGCGACAGTAGGGGCTGCAGTACTGACGGCTGCGGGATGGAGGCAGCTGTGCAGGTCGTCCGGCAAGCAGGAACGCGGGCGACAGTTGCAGGCCCCCACCCTAGACCCCTTTTTTTTTTTTTTTTTTATTTAGGGTTTTATGAATTTGTTTATTTTCTGGCGCTAAAGCGCTCCGAGGCGCGCTGCCTGCAGGGTGTGCTGCCTGCGGGGCGCGCTACCCGCGGGGCGCGCTGCTTGCGGGGCGCGCTACCCGCGGGGCGCGCTACCCGCGCGGCTTGCTGCCTGCGGGGCTGGGGCGACGGGCCAGGGCACGGGCTGGGGCGACGGGCTAGGGCGCGGGCTGGGGCGACGGGCGAGGGCGCGGGCTGGGGCGACGGGCTAGGGCGCGGGCTGGGGCGACGGGCCAGGTCGCGGGCTGGGGCGACGGGCCAGGGCGCGGGCTAGGGCGACGGGCTAGGGCACGGGCCTGGGCGACGGGCCAGGGCGCGGGCCTGGGCGACGGGCTAGGGCGCGGGCCTGGGCGACGGGCTAGGGCGCGGGCCTGGGAGACGGGCTAGGGCGCGGGCCTGGGCGACGGGCTAGGGGCGCGGAGGGCGCTAGGCGCGGAGGTCCGCGACGGCGCGGGCTAGGGGCGCGGAGGGCGCTAGGCGCGGAGGTCCGCGACGGCGCGGGCTAGGGGCGCGGAGGGCGCTAGGCGCGGAGGTCCGCGACGGCGCGGGCTAGGGGCACGGAGGGCGCTAGGGCGCGGAGAGGGTGCGGAGGGCACGGAGCCTAAGGCGCGGAGGGCGCGGAGGTGCGCTAGAGAGGGCGCGGGCTAGGAAGTAACGAGGAACTAACCTACTCGTGATACCATCTCAAAGTAGGAATGCAACGGAATGTGTGAACTAGGGAAACAAGGGATACAAATAGCAACCCTAAAAGTGTTGTACTCCCTAGAGTGCTATTCACTGTAGCCTAAGAACCTATAATAACATTTGACACCTGGTTCACCCCCATGTTAACATAAGCACAAGGATTTGCAGCAGCAGTAGAACACATGAACTGACAATGTGGCCCTCAGCTGTCATTGCTTTTCCGCTGCGAGCTTGACTGGGAGCCGGTGGGCCTTGTGTGACAGGTGTGTTGCCTCCCGCTTGCTCTCCAGGAGGAGTGACAGATGATGCACCGGGGGGTGGGGTGCTAGCAGGTGCTGGGGAGGTGGGCGGCTGATTGGGTAGTGGGGAAATGGTGGGCGGCGGGCTGGTGGGCGATGGGCTTGGAGCTTCATGCAACCCCACAGATTGGCAAGAAGGGAGAGACAGAAGAAAGCACATCAGCTCATGCGATTGCAGAAAGAAAAGACCATATGAACCGATGTGTGTGTGGCTCACAAGTGATGCATGTGGAGATGTATTTGGCTCATAAGACATGAATGCGGAGGTGTAAGTTACGCATAGAAAATGTAGTGTATGTGGGTAATGATGGAGCATGCAACAGAGATTGCAAGCAGCCTCAGCAGGTGACAAGAATGGGACAGCCTAAGCATGGTGAGACGAGAATGGTGAGTTCATGACTAGAAGGGAATGGACGTGCTCTGCTCGGGACCATAGAAAGGGATTGCAAGCGGCCTCAGACAACCATGAGGCAACCAAACCATGATGCAAAGAGAATAGTGAGATGGTGACTAGAAGAGATTTTGGAGGCGCCTCAAAAGCCAAACCATGATGAGATGAGAATGGTGAGGTCATGACTAGAAGGAATCGGACGTGCTCTATTGGGATTATCATAAGAGGCATCTAAATGGAATCATGGCAACGGAATTGGAAGAGGCATTTAAATGAAGGGAAAGCAATACTGTATGCATGGATGATAGAGCTGCATTACAGTTGAGGCATGTGGGACAAGGGACGCAAGTGGGAGCAATGGTGCCGTTGTTTCCGATGGTGCTGCCCAGAGGGCATTGGCAGGTGTAGGTGCCGTTGGGGAGGGAGACACAGGCACCCCCTCCACAGGGGTTGAACTGAAAGGATGCGCACACATCAGCTGCAGCACGGGTTTCAGCGAACAGAAAGGGGCGGATGGAAGTGGGGAGGGGTGGAAAGGTGGAGGGATGGAAAAGGTGGGGCATGTGAGGTGCCGCGGGGAGAGGGATACAGACACCCGCTGCGACTTGAGGCGCCTTAAAACTCGTCCGGGAGGGGAATATGGGCAAGCTTGGAAGAAGGGGAATACTGACACCCATGGTGCAAGGGATGAAGGGTGCAGGTTGAAGCAAGACCATGTGCATGTATCAGCTACTGTGCAATGGGCGGAAGGGTTGCATGATGAGGTGAAGGGCGGAAGGGTTGCGATGCCACTGGTGATGGCAAGGAGGCGAAACAACAGGGTGCTGTTTGTTATGCCACCCATGCCGTGCCGCCCATGGCACTGCCACCAACGCCACCAACGCCACCCACGCCACCCATGCAACCCAAGCCATGGCACCCATTCCGCCCATGGCACCCATTCCGCCCATGGCACCCATGCCACCTATGGCAACCATGCCACCAATGGCACCCATGCCACCCATGCCAACCATGCCGCCCATGCCACCCATGCCGTCCACACCTGCTCGCACACCCACCTGGTCGCACCCTCACCTGCTTGCACACCCACCTGCTCGCACACCCACCTGGCTGCACGGAGCAGTTGGAGCAGAAGAAGGAGCAGTGCTGGCAGAATGCCGACGTGGTCTGCTGACTCAGCTCGCACCACCCCCCTGTGGCGCACTGCAGCCCTGTGTTGTCCACTTGGCTGGCAAATGAGGAGTGTGAGATGCAGGAGGGGTGATGCACGAGGGGAGAGAAAAAGAAGCCATGGCAGATTGGTGATATGGTCTGCTGATCCAGCTCGCACCACCCCCCGGTGGCACACTGCACACCTGTGCTGTCCACTTGGCTGGCCGATAAGGATGCACAAGGGGAGAAAAAAGAGCAGAGGTGGCATATGGGTGATATGGTCTGCTGATTCTCCACCCCCCTGTGGTGCACTGCAGACCTGTGCTGTCCACATGTCTGGTTGGGGGGAGTGGGAGATGCATGATAGGAGAGAAAAAAGCAGCAGTGGCAGATGGGTGGTATGGGTGAGATGGTGGATCAGTTGTGATACACTTGACTTACGAAACGTCTCAAAACAAGATACTTGAATTACGAGACGTCTCAAAACGAGATACTTGACTTACGAGACGTCTCAAAACGAGATACTTGACTTACGAGACGTCTCAAAACGAGATACTTGACTTACAGGCCTGTGAGCAGAGTGAGGTTGCCGAGCCTATTTTTCAGTCGACTTAAAAATCGGATCAAGTGTGCGCGAGATACTTGACTTACGAAACGTCTCAAAACAAGATACTTGAATTACGAGACGTCTCAAAACGAGATACTTGACTTACGAGACGTCTCAAAACGAGATACTTGACTTACAGGCCTGTGAGCAGAGTGAGGTTGCCGAGCCTATTTTTCAGTCGACTTAAAAATCGGATCAAGTGTGCGCGAGATACTTGACTTACGAAACGTCTCAAAACAAGATACTTGAATTACGAGACGTCTCAAAACGAGATACTTGACTTACGAGACGTCTCAAAACGAGATACTTGACTTACGAGACGTCTCAAAACGAGATACTTGACTTACGAGACGTCTCAAAACGAGATACTTGACTTACGAGACGTCTCAAAACGAGATACTTGACTTACGAGACGTCTCAAAACGAGATACTTGACTTACGAGACGTCTCAAAACGAGATACTTGACTTACAGGCCTGTGAGCAGAGTGAGGTTGCCGAGCCTATTTTTCAGTCGACTTAAAAATCGGATCAAGTGTGCGCGAGATACTTGACTTACGAAACGTCTCAAAACAAGATACTTGAATTACGAGACGTCTCAAAACGAGATACTTGACTTACGAGACGTCTCAAAACGAGATACTTGACTTACGAGACGTCTCAAAACGAGATACTTGACTTACGAGATGTCTCAAAACGAGATACTTGACTTACGAGACGTCTCAAAACGAGATACTTGACTTACGAGACGTCTCAAAACGAGATACTTGACTTACGAGACGTCTCAAAACGAGATACTTGACTTACAGTCGACTTAAAAATCGGATCAAGTGTGCGCGAGATACTTGACTTACGAAACGTCTCAAAACAAGATACTTGAATTACGAGACGTCTCAAAACGAGATACTTGACTTACGAGACGTCTCAAAACGAGATACTTGACTTACGAGACGTCTCAAAACGAGATACTTGACTTACGAGACGTCTCAAAACGAGATACTTGACTTACGAGACGTCTCAAAACGAGATACTTGACTTACGAGACGTCTCAAAACGAGATACTTGACTTACGAGACGTCTCAAAACGAGATACTTGACTTACGAGACGTCTCAAAACGAGATACTTGACTTACAGGCCTGTGAGCAGAGTGAGGTTGCCGAGCCTATTTTTCAGTCGACTTAAAAATCGGATCAAGTGTGCGCGAGATACTTGATTTACGAAACGTCTCAAAACAAGATACTTGAATTACGAGACGTCTCAAAACGAGATACTTGACTTACGAGACGTCTCAAAACGAGATACTTGACTTACGAGACGTCTCAAAACGAGATACTTGACTTACGAGATGTCTCAAAACGAGATACTTGACTTACGAGACGTCTCAAAACGAGATACTTGACTTACGAGACGTCTCAAAACGAGATACTTGACTTACGAGACGTCTCAAAACGAGATACTTGACTTACGAGACGTCTCAAAACGAGATACTTGACTTACGAGACGTCTCAAAACGAGATACTTGACTTACGAGACGTCTCAAAACGAGATACTTGACTTACAGGCCTGTGAGCAGAGTGAGGTTGCCGAGCCTATTTTTCAGTCAACTTAAAAATCGGATCAAGTGTGCGCGAGATACTTGACTTACGAAACGTCTCAAAACAAGATACTTGAATTACGAGACGTCTCAAAACGAGATACTTGACTTACGAGACGTCTCAAAACGAGATACTTGACTTACGAGACGTCTCAAAACGAGATACTTGACTTACGAGACGTCTCAAAACGAGATACTTGACTTACGAGACGTCTCAAAACGAGATACTTGACTTACGAGACGTCTCAAAACGAGATACTTGACTTACGAGACGTCTCAAAACGAGATACTTGACTTACGAGACGTCTCAAAACGAGATACTTGACTTACGAGACGTCTCAAAACGAGATACTTGACTTACGAGACGTCTCAAAACGAGATACTTGACTTACGAGACGTCTCAAAACGAGATACTTGACTTACGAGACGTCTCAAAACGAGATACTTGACTTACGAGACGTCTCAAAACGAGATACTTGACTTACAGGCCTGTGAGCAGAGTGAGGTTGCCGAGCCTATTTTTCAGTCGACTTAAAAATCGGATCAAGTGTGCGCGAGATACTTGACTTACGAAACGTCTCAAAACAAGATACTTGAATTACGAGACGTCTCAAAACGAGATACTTGACTTACGAGACGTCTCAAAACGAGATACTTGACTTACGAGACGTCTCAAAACGAGATACTTGACTTACGAGACGTCTCAAAACGAGATACTTGACTTACAGGCCTGTGAGCAGAGTGAGGTTGCCGAGCCTATTTTTCAGTCGACTTAAAAATCGGATCAAGTGTGCGCGAGATACTTGACTTACGAAACGTCTCAAAACAAGATACTTGAATTACGAGACGTCTCAAAACGAGATACTTGACTTACGAGACGTCTCAAAACGAGATACTTGACTTACGAGACGTCTCAAAACGAGATACTTGACTTACGAGACGTCTCAAAACGAGATACTTGACTTACGAGACGTCTCAAAACGAGATACTTGACTTACGAGACGTCTCAAAACGAGATACTTGACTTACAGGCCTGTGAGCAGAGTGAGGTTGCCGAGCCTATTTTTCAGTCGACTTAAAAATCGGATCAAGTGTGCGCGAGATACTTGACTTACGAAACGTCTCAAAACAAGATACTTGAATTACGAGACGTCTCAAAACGAGATACTTGACTTACGAGACGTCTCAAAACGAGATACTTGACTTACGAGACGTCTCAAAACGAGATACTTGACTTACGAGACGTCTCAAAACGAGATACTTGACTTACGAGACGTCTCAAAACGAGATACTTGACTTACGAGACGTCTCAAAACGAGATACTTGACTTACGAGACGTCTCAAAACGAGATACTTGACTTACAGGCCTGTGAGCAGAGTGAGGTTGCCGAGCCTATTTTTCAGTCGACTTAAAAATCGGATCAAGTGTGCGCGAGATACTTGACTTACGAAACGTCTCAAAACAAGATACTTGAATTACGAGACGTCTCAAAACGAGATACTTGACTTACGAGACGTCTCAAAACGAGATACTTGACTTACGAGACGTCTCAAAACGAGATACTTGACTTACGAGACGTCTCAAAACGAGATACTTGACTTACGAGACGTCTCAAAACGAGATACTTGACTTACGAGACGTCTCAAAACGAGATACTTGACTTACGAGACGTCTCAAAACGAGATACTTGACTTACAGACCTGTGAGCAGAGTGAGGTTGCCGAGCCTATTTTTCAGTCGACTTAAAAATCGGATCAAGTGTGCGCGAGATACTTGATTTACGAAACGTCTCAAAACAAGATACTTGAATTACGAGACGTCTCAAAACGAGATACTTGACTTACGAGACGTCTCAAAACGAGATACTTGACTTACGAGACGTCTCAAAACGAGATACTTGACTTACGAGACGTCTCAAAACGAGATACTTGACTTACGAGACGTCTCAAAACGAGATACTTGACTTACGAGACGTCTCAAAACGAGATACTTGACTTACGAGACGTCTCAAAACGAGATACTTGACTTAAGAGACGTCTCAAAACGAGATACTTGACTTACGAGACGTCTCAAAACGAGATACTTGACTTACGAGACGTCTCAAAACGAGATACTTGAATTACGAGACGTCTCAAAACGAGATACTTGACTTACGAGACGTCTCAAAACGAGATACTTGACTTACGAGACGTCTCAAAACGAGATACTTGACTTACGAGACGTCTCAAAACGAGATACTTGACTTACGAGACGTCTCAAAACGAGATACTTGACTTACGAGACGTCTCAAAACGAGATACTTGACTTACGAGACGTCTCAAAACGAGATACTTGACTTACGAGACGTCTCAAAACGAGATACTTGACTTACGAGACGTCTCAAAACGAGATACTTGACTTACGAGACGTCTCAAAACGAGATACTTGACTTACAGGCCTGTGAGCAGAGTGAGGTTGCCGAGCCTATTTTTCAGTCGACTTAAAAATCGGATCAAGTGTGCGCGAGATACTTGACTTACGAAACGTCTCAAAACAAGATACTTGAATTACGAGACGTCTCAAAACGAGATACTTGACTTACGAGACGTCTCAAAACGAGATACTTGACTTACGAGACGTCTCAAAACGAGATACTTGACTTACGAGACGTCTCAAAACGAGATACTTGACTTACGAGACGTCTCAAAACGAGATACTTGACTTACGAGACGTCTCAAAACGAGATACTTGACTTACAGGCCTGTGAGCAGAGTGAGGTTGCCAAGCGATGCAGGGAGCGACCCCTGCAGGCTGCTGTAACTCAAGTCCCTGGAGGCGGCATAAGAATGGAGAAAAGGAAAATTGAGTCGACAAACAAACGTAGCCCAAGTGACTGCAGGCGGCAGTAGAATGGAGAAAAAAAAAATGACTCGACTAATAAATGTAGCCCAAGTCACTGCAGCTGGCATAGCAATCGAAAAAAAACTTGAGTCCACTAACAAACGGTAGCTCAAGTCACGGCAAGCGGCATAGGAATGGAAAGAAACAGAAGACATATGCAGATGACAACACGCATGGATACAGATGGATACAGCAGACAGTGGAAGCAATGGTTAAGAATGAAAGGCATGGGGCACACAGAAAGCAAGTGACACGTGGCACAAGGAGAGAGGGCATGCATGAGAGGGGCGGCACTGACAGCAGGCTGAGAGTGGTGAGGCGACCCACGCCAGCTGGCAGAGAGCCCGTGAGGTTGTTGTGACCCATGGCGCTGGGTGGGCGGGGGGGGGAGAGGGGGGGGGGTGGATGAGGAGGGCGAGCAGGGTGGGCAGAGTGAGGTGGGCGGGGAGTGCAGGGTGGGCAGGAGGGATAAAAGAAACGAGTGATTCAGGTCTTGGGTCCCAGGAGGGCATGGGAACAGCACGAGAGAAGAGGGTGGGTGGGGGAGCACTGATGCCAGCTGGGTCATGTCATGGCACAGCTCTGCATGGAGGCTGTATGTATATGATGCAGGGTGACACGTGGCAGTGGTGACACAAGGCAGTGGTGACACGTGGCAGTGGTGACACGTGGCAGTGGTGACACGTGGCAGTGGTGACATGGTGACACGTGGCACTGACATGTACACGAGGCTGAGGAGGGTGGTGATGGAGTCAGGAATGGACCCCGAAAGCTCATTGGAACTCACGTCTCTGCCCATGCAGGGATACATAGATGCAGGGACAAACAGATGCACATGCGATTCACACATGGCGATGATGTATGCATGCATACGCACGCATGGGGCGATGATATAAACGCATATTTGGAGCGATGATGCTTGCACAACTAATGAGGCAATCAATGGCTAGCGTGGGAGAGATCAAGGCACACAGCAGGCATCATAATGCTGTGTAATTTAGAATGCACCACATGATGCCACATGCCACATGCCACATGCCACATGCCACATGGTACATGCCACATGCCACATGCTAGAAGCCACAAGCTACATGCTACATACCAAATGCAACGTGACGTGCCACATGTTACATGTCGCATGTCACATTCTACTTGCATTGCAACCCCAAAGAGACATTACTGGTGAGGCTGTGGAGGTCTAAATGAATGGGAATGTGTATGTCATGGCATGCCGTACAAAGCTACCACGCCATGGCATGGCATCATGGCATGGCATACATGAGAATGGCTTTGGCAAGGGTGCCGAGGGAGCTGGGAATGGACCCGGTGAGGTTGTTGCGCCTCACATTCCTGCTCACAACAAAGAGCGATTCTCACACCTGTTTAGCTTCTACCACTTGCTGGTATCAAGGATGTATGCAATTGAGGCTACATTACATGGTAAGCCGGTGTTCATGGTATGCCGGTGTTCACGGTATGCTGGTATAAATGGTAAGCGGGTGAACACAGTGACCGTGTGTACATGGTAAGCTTCAAGTAAATGGTCGATCGGTAGCCAATGGTTACTCGGTGGTAACCGTATGCCAAGTTGCTAACCAGTGGTCACTCACATCACATCACATGCTACTACAAGTGACTCACAGGCTGGTGAGCGAGGAGAGAGCGCCTATGGTGTCAGGAATGGGACCCATGAGGCTGTTGTATGACAGGTCACTGCCACGAGCATGCAACGAGATGGAGAAGACTGTTGAGAATTCTCAACAGTGATTTCAGCTGACCCATGTGGCTGTTAGACGAAAGGTCACTCTGTAAGGAGCATGAAACGAGATAGAGAAGGTTTAGGATCGAGAATAAGCATAGATGAAGAGTGATCAATCAAAAGGAGCAGGAACGAGTTCTCATGCAGACCAGTCCTGCTAGACTCTGGTTTGATGTGTGCGGTGCGAGTTACGGCGCCACACATCAAACCTCCACATGCAGGCCCTGACAGAAAGACTAGCACACGGCGTAAGTAGCAGAGCAGCGCGGGTGGAAGAGCAGCGCACGTACAGGACGGATAAGTTGGTGAGACGGGTGATGGCTGGAGGGATGCGCCCTGAGAGCTGATTGCCTCCCAAGCCCCTGATTGATGGCATCACGTGCGTTGCACAGTTGCGCACGAGACAGATATCGGGCTGATTGGTACAGAAAAGGGTTGTTCTGATACCCTAAACCCTAAACCCTCTACGCGTTTGAGCACATGGACCTCTCAGAAGAACAGATTTAGTAGGCGCCGCAAAGCATGAGGCGACTTCTGAGGTGCGTGAAAACTTGTTCTCTAAACGTCTGAGTTGAGCACATGGACCCCTAAAAGAACGGTTCTTTTCGGCGGCCCATAATTCGTTTGTAACCTCTGGGGTTTTCTGCCAGCGAGGCGGATGGGGTTGATGGTGGTACGTGAGAAGACCCAACCCTTCCTGCCTGCCCTTCAACGCATCATACGTGGGACTGAGAGAAGGGAAGGAGGGAGGAGGGAAGAAGGAAGGAGAGTAGGGGAGGAGGGCTCACAGGACTTTAAGGGCTCACAGGAAAGAAAGGGCTCACAGGAAGGAAAGGGCAGTGAGATTGGCGATTGCTGCAGGGATGGACCCAGAGAGGTTGTTCTGAGCTAGGTACCTGGTGGTGGTGTGTGGTGGGATGGTGAGGAGAGAGATGATGATGTGACTTTTGAGTCGACTCAAAAGTCACCTTGCTGCAGGGATGGGCCCAGAGAGGTTGTTCTGAGCTAGGTACCTGGTGGTGGCGTGGCGGTGTGTGGGATGTTGCTATGTGCTCGCCCTGGAAGTGACTTTCGTGCACTGATACAACATGCCGCTCGAGATGATGCTGACAGGGCTGATGCAGAAAAATAGCGAGGTGATGCAGCGAGGGGGGGGGTGGCATTGTGGCGGGCAGCAGTCAAAGAGACAAACAGGTAGAGAGTGGAGTGAACATATTGTACACACTGTACACACTGTACATACTGTACACATTGTTCATGCTGTACACACTGTACATACTGTACGTACTGTACATACTGTACATACTGTACATACTGTACACACTGTACATACTGTACACATTGTTCATGCTGTACACACTGTACACACTGTACTGTATACGCTGTTCATACTGTATGTACTGTAGATACTGTACATACTGTACACACTGTACACATTGTTCATGCTGTACACTGTACACACTGTACTGTATACGCTGTTCATACTGTATGTACTGTAGATACTGTACACAAAGTACTACACCGTTCATACTATATATACTGCATATACTGTGCACACTGTACTGTTTACACTGTTCATACTGTACATACTATATACACTGTACTGTATACACTGTTCATTCTGTTCATACTGCTGCATGAACAGGCAGGTTGCATACTGTTCATGCCGCCCTCATCTACTCAAGGCTGATGCAGGTCCGGATTTTGCCATCATGAGGCAGTCCTCCCTCCCCTGATCGCCCATACTCGCCCATATTCGTCCATATTCGCCCATATTCGCCCATATTCGCCCATATACGCCCATACTCGCCCATATTCGCCCATATTCGCCCATACTCGCCCATACTCGCCCATATTCGCCCATACTCGCCCATATTCGCCCATATTCGCCCATACTCGCCCATATTCGCCCATATTCGCCCATACTCGCCCATATTCGCCCATATTCGTCCATACTCGCCCATACTCGCCCATATTCGCCCATATTCGCCCATACTCGCCCATATTCGCCCATATTCGCCCATACTCGCCCATATTCGCCCATACTCGCCCATACTCGCCCATATTCGCCCATACTCGCCCATATTCGCCCATATTCGCCCATATTCGCCCATACTCGCCCATACTCGCCCATACTCGCCCATATCCGCCCCTATCCGTGTGGGCCACACGCACAGGTACTCAAGGCTGGCCATGCTGTGCAGGTTGGACGGCAGACTTCCCTCCAACCCCAACAACCCCCCCCCCCCTTTCGCCCCCATCCGCCCCCCATCCCCCCCCCCATCCGCCCCCCCATCCGCCCCCCATCCGCCCCTTATCCGCCCCCCATCCGGCCCCCATCCGCCCCCTACTAGCCCACACGCACAGGTACTCAAGGCTGGCCATGCGGTGCAGGTTGGATGGCAGGCTGCCCTCTATGTGATTCCTCCCCAGGCGCCTGCATTCAGGGGCGAAGAGGGGACATGGAAGGAGTTTTGAGTCGACTCCGAACTCGTCTCATGCAGTGCAGGTTGGACGGTAGGCTGCCCTCCAGGAGGTTCCTCCCCCCCCCCTGCATGCAGGGGCGAAGAGGGGTGGTGGGGGGATGGAGGGGCGTGTGGGCAGGAGGTGAAGGAAGGGTGGAGTGGAGTGAGTGAGCGAGGGAGGGAGAGAGGAGAGGTTGGATGGCAGGCTGCCCACTATGTGGTTCCTCCCCCAGGCGCCTGCATGCACATGCGAAAGGGGGTGGGGGGTGGGGTGCGGGGGGTGGATGGGCGTGGGGGCAAGGGGGTGTAAAGAGGGAGAAGAGGAGTGAGGGAGGGAGGGAGGGAGGGAGGGAGGGAGGGAGGGAGGGAGGGAGGGAGGGAGGGGGGGAGGGAGGGAGGGAGTGAGGGAGGGAGGGAGGGAGGGGGAAGGGAGTGAGGGAAAAGGGGAGGGTGGGTGAGAGGGAGAAATGGAGGGACAAAGATTGCACAAACGATACACTTGCATCTCATTCGAGTGGGCACAGGGTGCGTGACAAGTGAACGGGTGCATCACTTGCAGAGGAGGGTTGCTCTACGTATGATATTTGAGGCACCTTAAACGCAGGCACAGGGTGACTGTACAGAGCGGGCATCGGGAAGGAAAATCGTATGAAACAGCTCAGGGCGAGAAAAACGTTGGCTTATAATTATGAGAGATTTGGGAGCAGCAGAGAGGACACAGTGTGCGCAAGCGACATGTGAGACGACTCAAGAGCAGAGAGTCTGCTTTTGAGTCGACTCAAAGGCACATGTGAGACGACTGAAGAGCAGAGAGGATACATACAGCGTGCGCAGGCGAGAGAGGTTGACAATGGCTGAGGGGAAGGGGCCTGAGAGCTGGTTGTAACCCATGTCGCTGCAGCGCATGGGGAGCGGAACGGGCGAGAGAGGGGAAGGGAGGAGGGCTGAGAATGAGGGGAATGGCTGAGAGAGGTTGGGTATGGCTGAGGGGAAGTGGCCTGAAAACTGGTTGTAGCCCATGCCGCTGCAGCGAATGGGGAGGGGGAATGGGCGGGAACGAGAGGAAGGGTAGAGGGCAGAAAGAAGGGGAAAGAGGACAGCGGGGAGGGGAGGCAGCATAGGGAAAGGGGTGAGGCATGGTTGGAGGGGTGCAGTGAGTGAGGCATGGTTGGAGAGGGACCTGTGTGCGAGGTCAGGAACGCCAGGAACGAAGGCCAGAGGATCTTTGAGGCGCCTATAAAATCGTCTCAGTTGGCATGGTTGGAGAGGGACGTGTGTGCGAGGTCAGGAACGAAGGCGAGAGTTTGAAGCAGGAGACTTCTGAGTCGACCTTACAAGTCACCTCGTTACAACGAGCCCAGGAAGAGAGGCCACGGTTTGAAACAGGAGCGCACACGCCTGCAGCAGGAGCAGGCGTATCTTCCGACGTAAGCTCACAGATTCCCGAGGACCGGAAACATTTATTGAAGGTGCAGAGAGGCCTGAACCAAATAAAGTATACTAATGGTTCGGAGTGAACCTAAGAAGGTAAGAAGAAAGAGCCGAAAGGAAGCTTACAGGTTGCTGAGAAGCGAGAGGCTTCCAATGCTGTCCGGCAGGGAGCCCGTGATGTTGTTGGTTCCTAACAACCTGCCACGTGGCACCCAGACATTGGTGAAAGCCATACACGGTCAGACGGGAAAGCGAAGCCGTGCGGCAAACACTGCGGGCCAAGGGAGGAGAGAAGGGGAGCAGACAAGAGGAGCAGAGCAGGGGAGCAAACAAGAGGAGCAGAGCAGCGAAGGAATTTTGAGGCAGTTCAAAAGGGTGAATAATTGTGACGGAGAGTGGAGGAGAGTGAATGAAGGCAGCACTGACAGGTAGACGAGGGAGGGTAACGAGGAGAGGGAGGCAGGCAGCGAGCCGGAGAGGTGGTTGTTCTGCAAGCCGCTGTGATTGGGGGGGGGAGAATGAGGAAGGGGCGGGTAGGGCAGGGCAGGGGATGTGAGGGACAGGGGGTGAGGACGGAGAAAGCAAGCAGCAGGGGGCATGTGGGGGAGAGGTGCAACGTTGGAATGAAATGGGGGTGTTTGCTTTGCATGGAGCACAGCACACAAGACACGTGGCTGGCATGAGAATCAAATGCTGAAGGCTGACGTGGACAGCACCCCACATTGACATGGTCGAGGGCTTTGCTGATTTGGACATTCATGAAGCTGATGTGGACACTCATGAAGCTGATGTGGACACTCATGAAGCTGATGTGGACACTCATGAAGCTGATGTGGACACTCAAGAAGCTGATGTGGACTCACATGAAGCTGATGTGGACTCACATGTAAGTGACACTCGTATGGTTGGCAAGTGACGGAGGAAAGGGCCCCGTGAGCTGGTTGTTGCCCAAGTTGCTGCCACGTCAGCATGGGTGACGCATGGAACGAAGGGCAATGCGTGCTGTGATTGGTGATGGGTGATGCAGAAGGGATTGAAGAATAAGAATTGGAGATCAAGGGAAATTCAGGGACGGCGGGCAGGAGACAGCCGTCGTATCGTATGTTCATGGGATGGGATGAGAGGTGGTACATGGAAGAGAGGTTCGGAAGGGCGCTGAGGACTGCAGCAGGGATGGGGCCTGAGAGGAGGTTGTAGGAGAGATCGCTGGAGGGTGGATGGATGGGAGGGACGGAGGAGGAGAGAAGGGGGACGGGCCAGACGGGACGGAGTTAATGGAAGAGAGGGGCGGCAGGCGGGGATGGAGTTAATGGAAGAGAGGGGCGGCAGGCGGGGATGGAAAGGAGTGGCGGGGCGGCAGGGAAATACGTTGGCGAATTATTAGGCAAACCCTAGGATTGCATCCTGCTACATGACATGATTTAACAGCGCATCACGTTCGAATTAAAGAACTAGCATTGCATTGAACTAGTTTAGGGACAATGGTTAGAGCTGAAAAGAAGTGGTTAAGCAATAAAAACAAGCAATACAACTAGGAAGAGGCTTCAATTGGGATGACATAAGCAGCAGTACAGGACAATATTTTCCATATGAATGTTTCTTATTGTTTGTTGAGAAAACAGATGTTAAAACAAGTGACAAAAATGCATACGAATCAGCAAGCCACCATCGCTCACATGACACTAAGCTTATTGAGGAGGCTCATAGCGGGGGGAATGGAGCCTGTGAGGTTGTTGCCGGCCAGGTTGCTGCATCAGGGATGGCGGGAGGGTGGTAGGGTGGTAAAATGGGAGGTGGGAAGGTGGCTGGATGGGAGGGTGGGAGGGAGGGAGGATGGGAGGATGGCAGGGTGGGAGCATGGGAGGGTGGGTGGATGGGAGGGTTGGGAGGTTGGAAGGATGGGAGGTTGGGAGAGTGGGAGGGCGGGAAGGTGGGGTGGACTTTGAGCTTAGAGAGATTGCAAGGGAGTGTTGAGGGCATTTTGAGGGGGTGGTTGGTGTAGTGGTAATCTGGTGTATGGCACAGTGGCATATGCTGCTGCAGGCATGTGGATGAGCAAACACCTGAGAGGGAATGGAATGGATCACTAGAGAGGGTTGACTGACAGGAGGGTGAGGGCAGAGAGGCCAGCGATGGACGGAGGGATGATGCCCGTGAGCTGGTTGTCGCCCAGAGCCCTGCCAAAGGGGGCATGCGATCAGATGAGTGGGTGTGTGAGGTCAGAGGTACTGTGGGCGATGGTTTTCAAGTGCTGTGATGAAGGATGTGGCCAACCACTAGACCTTTTTTAGGCGCCTCAAACCTCGATAAGATAGGTGGGTGTGTGAGGCACATGGTGGGTGTGTGAGGTACATGGTGGGTGTGTGAGGTACATGGTGGGTGTGTGAGGTACATGGTGGGTGTGTGAGGTACATGGTGGGTGTGTGAGGTACATGGTGGGTGTGTGAGGTACATGGTGGGTGTGTGAGGTACATGGTGGGTGTGTGAGGTACATGGTGGGTGTGTGAGGTACATGGTGGGTGTGTGAGGTACATGGTGGGTGTGTGAGGTACATGGTGGGTGTGTGAGGTACTGTGGGTGATGGTATTGAAGTGTTGTGATTTAGGAAGTGGCCAAACAATAGATGGTTTTCTAAACCATGAGAATTCTCACAAGTGACCTGGCAATCACTTCTAAGAATTGATCTTGCTGATCTTGCCTGCCAGAGACCTGCGAATCACCGCATTGCCACACCACACCCATCACAGCATAGCAACACAGTGGGCTAATGCTGGCAGCTTCTTGCTTGGCCTTGCACGCGCACTCACGCGCACTCACATCATGCACATTTTGAGTCGACTCAACGGTTTTCTTGGCCTCGCAAGCGCATGTGCACTCACAGCATTGCCGCACTCACAGCATTGCCGCACTCACAGCATTACCACACTCACAGCATTACCGCACTCACAGCATTACCGCACTCACAGCATTACCACACTCACAGCATTACCGCACTCACAGCATTACCACACTCACAGCATTACCGCACTCACAGCATTACCACACTCACAGCATTACCACACTCACAGCATTACCGCACTCACAGCATTACCACACTCACAGCATTACCGCACTCACAGCATGCGCAGCCGACCCAAGTTGCCCATTGCAGGTGGGATGGGACCCTTGAGATTTGCCGCACTCACATCTCTGCGATGCAGCGATGCAGCGGTGCACACAAGCAAGCAGCGTGATGTGATTTAAGAAGTGTTTTGAGACGTCTCAAAACACTCACATCCCTGCAAGTGGTGCACACAAGCAAGCAAGTGAGCAAGGAGGAAGTGGCCTTACTCAATACTCAATACTTGACTTGAAGTACGCATATGGATTCGACAGAGCATTCCACATTCGCCATCCTTGACCCTGGTGAGTGGCCTACAGCCTACAGGTACTGCAGGAGGGCTTTTGAGACGTCTGGTGAGCCTGTTTTTTAGCATTCCGCATTCGCCATCCTTGACCCTGGTGAGCCTGTTTTTGAGTCAACTCAAAAACGTGACCCTGGTGAGTGGCCTAAAGCCTACAGATACTGCAGGAGGGGCAGCGATGCAAGGGCGGCCGGGAGAGAGCCTGAGAGGGGGTTGGTTCCGATGGCCCTGGGGGGAGTGGGTAGGACGGGCCCGGAGTGGGAGGGGCAGGGGGGAAATACGAGAATTTCCCACCAAGACGGGCAGGGGGGAAATATGAGAATTTCCCACAAAGACAGGCAGAGGGGAGCGTCTAAAGATGCTTGCAAGCAAAGGCGAGACAGAGGCGACTTTTGAGTTGACTGACTTTTGAGTGGACTGACTTTTAAGTCGACTGACTTTTGAGTCGACTGACTTTTGAGTCGACTGACTTTTGAGTCGACTCAAAAGTGGGTAGGACGGGCCCGGAGTGGGAGCGGCAGGGAGGAAATATGAGAATTCACTAAAGATGCTCGCAAGCAAAGGTGAGACAGAGGTGACTTTGAGTCGACTGAAAAGGCTCCAAGCTTCAGATCTGCAGCTCTTGCGCTTTGAGTGAAGTGAAGACCCCACGAACTAGAAGAGGCTGCTCAAAGCACCTGTAAGTAATGCTGCAGCCAGCCTGTTCGAATAATGACCCCACTTACAGGTACTCGAGGCTGTTCAGCGCACTGAGGCTGCTGGGAATGCTGCCTGTGAAGTTGTTCTGTGCTAGCATGCTGATGGGGTGCAGTGGAAGGGAGACAGGGGAAGAGAGACAAGGGAAGAGAGACAGGGGAAGAGAGACAGGGGAAGAGAGACAGGGGAAGAGAGACAGGGGAAGAGAGACAGGGGAAGAGAGACAGGGGAAGAGAGACAGGGGAAGAGAGACAGGGGAAGAGAGACAGGGGAAGAGAGACAGGGGAAGAGAGACAAGGGAAGAGAGACAGGGGAAGAGAGACAGGGGAAGAGAGACAGGGGAAGAGAGACAGGGGAAGAGAGACAGGGGAAGAGAGACAGGGGAAGAGAGACAGGGGAGAGAGACAGGGGAAGAGAGACAGGGGAAGAGAGACAGGGGAAGAGAGACAGGGGAAGAGAGACAGGGGAAGAGAGACAGGGAAGAGAGACAGGGAAGAGAGACAGGGGAAGAAGAGAGACAGGGGAAGAGAGACAGGGGAAGAGAGACAGGGGAAGAGAGACAGGGGAAGAGAGACAGGGGAAGAGAGACAGGGGAAGAGAGACAAGGGAAGAGAGACAGGGGAAGAGAGACAAGGGAAGAGAGACAGGGGAAGAGAGACAATGGAAGAGAGACAAGGGAAGAGAGACAAGGGAAGAGAGACAAGGGAAGAGAGACAGGGGAAGAGAGACAAGGGAAGAGAGACAGGGGAAGAGAGACAGGGGAAGAGAGACAGGGGAAGAGAGACAGGGGAAGAGAGACAGGGGAAGAGAGACAAGGGAAGAGAGACAGGGGAAGAGAGACAAGGGAAGAGAGACAGGGGAAGAGAGACAATGGAAGAGAGACAGGGGAAGAGAGACAGGGGAAGAGAGACAAGGAAGAGAGACAGGGGAAGAGAGACAAGGGAAGAGAGACAGGGGAAGAGAGACAGGGGAAGAGAGACAGGGGAAGAGAGACAGGGGAAGATAGACAGGGGAAGAGAGACAAGGGAAGAGAGACAGGGGAAGAGAGACAGGGGAAGAGAGACAGGGGAAGAGAGACAGGGGAAGAGAGACAGGGGAAGAGAGACAGGGGAAGAGAGACAGGGGAAGAGAGACAAGGGAAGAGAGACAATGGAAGAGAGACAAGGGAAGAGAGACAGGGGAAGAGAGACAGGGGAAGAGAGACAGGGGAAGATAGACAGGGGAAGAGAGATAGGGGAAGAGAGACAAGGGAAGAGAGACAGGGGAAGAGAGACAGGGGAAGAGAGACAGGGGAAGAGAGACAAGGGAAGAGAGACAGGGGAAGAGAGACAGGGGAAGAGAGACAAGGGAAGAGAGACAGGGGAAGAGAGACAAGGGAAGAGAGACAAGGGAAGAGAGACAGGGGAAGAGAGACAGGGGAAGAGAGACAGAGGAAGAGAGACAGGGGAAGAGAGACAAGGGAAGAGAGACAGGGGAAGAGAGACAGGGGAAGAGAGACAGGGGAAGAGAGACAGGGAAGAGAGACAAGGGAAGAGAGACAGGGGAAGAGAGACAGGGGAAGAGAGACAGGGGAAGAGAGACAGGGGAAGAGAGACAGGGGAAGAGAGACAGGGGAAGAGAGACAGGGGAAGAGAGACAAGGGAAGAGAGACAGGGGAAGAGAGACAAGGGAAGAGAGACAGGGGAAGAGAGACAATGGAAGAGAGACAGGGGAAGAGAGACAAGGGAAGAGAGACAAGGGAAGAGAGACAGGGGAAGAGAGACAAGGGAAGAGAGACAGGGGAAGAGAGACAGGGGAAGAGAGACAGGGGAAGAGAGACAGGGGAAGAGAGACAGGGGAAGAGAGACAAGGGAAGAGAGACAGGGGAAGAGAGACAAGGGAAGAGAGACAGGGGAAGAGAGACAATGGAAGAGAGACAGGGGAAGAGAGACAAGGGAAGAGAGACAAGGGAAGAGAGACAGGGGAAGAGAGACAAGGGAAGAGAGACAGGGGAAGAGAGACAGGGGAAGAGAGACAGGGGAAGAGAGACAGGGGAAGAGAGACAGGGGAAGAGAGACAAGGGAAGAGAGACAGGGGAAGAGAGACAAGGGAAGAGAGACAGGGGAAGAGAGACAATGGAAGAGAGACAGGGGAAGAGAGACACGGGAAGAGAGACAAGGGAAGAGAGACAGGGGAAGAGAGACAAGGGAAGAGAGACAGGGGAAGAGAGACAGGGGAAGAGAGACAGGGGAAGAGAGACAGGGGAAGAGAGACAGGGGAAGAGAGACAGGGGAAGAGAGACAGGGGAAGAGAGACAGGGGAAGAGAGACAGGGGAAGAGAGACAAGGGAAGAGAGACAATGGAAGAGAGACAAGGGAAGAGAGACAGGGGAAGAGAGACAGGGGAAGAGAGACAGGGGAAGAGAGACAGGGGAAGAGAGATAGGGGAAGAGAGACAAGGGAAGAGAGACAGGGGAAGAGAGACAGGGGAAGAGAGACAGGGGAAGAGAGACAAGGGAAGAGAGACAGGGGAAAGAGAGACAGGGGAAGAGAGACAAGGGAAGAGAGACAGGGGAAGAGAGACAAGGGAAGAGAGACAAGGGAAGAGAGACAGGGGAAGAGAGACAGGGGAAGAGAGACAGGGGAAGAGAGACAGGGGAAGAGAGACAA